GATCTCCAGGAGTACTTATAGATTCAGTGTCTCAAGTTCTCTTAAATGTCACTGTCATGCCACCATTTCTTAGTACCATTAAATCCATCACATTCTTTTAAGCCAGTTTGCTCATTTCTCTGCCTCCTGTGTGGACTTCTTGAATGCCGGGATTTGCAAGTGGTTTTTTTCCCTCCTCAATGTAAGACAAGAGGCAAGCCATTGTCATCTGCTGAATGTAGAGACTAGAGGCCTGTCCGGTGTTCGTACCACCCACCTGGTTGATATCCCTGCCTGGATATTTCAACACATAGAGTATTCTTGTGATGGGAGGTTTTTTTTTCTTCCCTAAACTACTCTCAGATTAATAGGAGAGAAAATAGACGCTTGGCAGTTATGATTTAAACAGTTTGTAACTATAAGTAGTGGTTTAGTTTTTCAGCTAGCTCACAAATAGCTATTTTATGCCTTGCATTATAAATATAGTCAACAAAATTACAGATATACTACTCATTACTTGTGGAGATATTTTATGTACATATACCAACTCCCCACAAGGAGTGTGATAATCATGTACTACAAACATGTACTAATACAATTTTTAAAAGCGATAAGTAGTCATTGCATAGCTACAGTTTGTTGGAATGTATCATGGTCCTTTTTCTGTTGCTGTAAGAAAATACCTAAGAATTAGGTAATTTATAAAGATAAGAAATCTCATTCTCCCAGTTCTGGAGGTCAGAAAGTCCAAGAGTATGGCAGCAACCCCTGGTGAGCACCTTCTTGGTGTATTATAATGTGGCAGAGGGCGGCACTTGGTGTCACAAGCTTGCTAACTTAAGTCTTCTTGAAAAGCCATGGATGCCCTTTGTGGAGTCCAACCCTCATGCCCTTATCTAATCATATTTTTCTGAAGTAATTTGTTGAAAGGGAAAATAAAAGTGATTAAGGGTATACAGTACACATGTAATGACTCTCAAATATATCCACAAACAGCTACGTGGATCTGATCCTTGTTATTTTGCGGGGGGGGAGGGTACCGGGGATTGAACTCGGGTCCTTGCGCTTGCAAGGCAGGCCACCGAACCACTGAGCTAAATCCCTGGCCCTGATCCTTGTTATTTGTGGATATGCTCCTGACAAATCCATCCCACTCATATACAATTATAACTTCATGTACTGGTTTTCAACTGAGGTCAAATCTGACTACATTCCGCTCCTCATGCAATGCACAAGTGTTCTTTTTGCAGCCCATTTATTGCCACAGTTTTGTGCTTTTGTTAGTGATTTTGCTAGCTGGGATAACTCTCAGTAATGGAGCTCTAGTTGTCTTATGTTCTTAAGGACAAGGGCTGTGATATACCTTAGGGCGCAATCTGAGCATTACCCAGGCTTTGTGGAGGCCTGAACTGCAGTACTACTGGCCATTAAGTTCATCGTTACTGTGGAGATGTCACATTGAAATGCATCAACTTGCACAATGAATATGTGTTAATAAAAATTGTGAAACAATATTAATTAGCAATATATATTTTAAAGTCTTCTTTTAATCATAAAATGCTATATGGTCATTGCTTGACGCAAATGTGACTCTTGAGGCTCACGGAAACCCAGGGTTTCCCTTAGCAGCATGTTGGCTGATTCATTGCTGCCATGGGTTGGGTATGGTCTGAGTATGTCCCCCAAAGGTTCATGCATTGGAAGGGATGACAGTCTGGGACATGATGTAACATTTAACAGGTAGAGTGTCCCCAGGCCACTGACGGAGCGCCCCTTGGAAGGGATTAAGGTAGCACTCACGGGTCTCCTGAGCACTCACAGGATCCCTAAGCTTTCTTCAGAGCAAGCTGTTCTAAGAGCAAGGGAACCCACGAATCACTCTTTGATCTTCGGCAGTCACGTACATCCCCTCCCTTCCCACTCTTTGCTGTGGGACTCCTTCAGAGCCTGTGCCTTGCTTTTGGACTTGCAGCCTCCAAAGCGATGAGGTAAATAAGCCTCTCTTCTTTATACACTTATCCGTTACAGTTATTTCATTATGATGATAAAAAATGGACTAATATAGGCACTTCAGTACCAAGAACAAAAATTAACTCTCTGTGTATGACAGAGTGAGAGTGACAGAGATAACTGAGGGGAGCCAGCAAAGCTCCAGAGAGAAAAAAGGAAAAGAAGAGAAGGGGCAGCATTGTTCAGACAGGAAGAAAGAGTTCCTGGGATGTGAGTGGAGAGACCGTCCGTCCCCTCTGCCAGCCATAAAGTGTGCTGTCCGTTGAGGGCAGCTTTGTTTCTTCCGGGCACGAGCAGAAATGACCCATTTTGCTATAATACAGAAATGGTCTAGTTTGCTGTAGAATACAGGGCTGACAGAGCTGTGCGATCACTTATTCCTGTGTGCTCTAGAGTCTGGGAAGTGACTCTCAAACTACCAGAGAGTCACTTTGTTCAGGGGACACTGGGGAGCAGTTTTATCCTTTCTCTTGTGCCCCTGAACTTTTCTCAGAGAATGATTAATATTTTAATTATATCAACTGAAAGCCTGTATTTGGAAATGGAACTCTAGTATTGGAATTATCATTCTAATTTGCCTGGGCCATCATTTTTCTCTTATACCTGCCTCTTGAAGCTTCTGTTAATTTGTTAAAGACCTAGACTAGGTTACTGGGTCTATGGAGTGAATTTCTAATCTTTCGGCCCACACATCAGCACTGAGGCAGGTTGAGCCCATGTCAGAAGCAAGATATTTTGATTAAGTAACAAAATCAAGTCAATAAACTTAGTAAGTTCACCAAATTGCAGTAAGCTGGACTTCTTTGTTTCTGATCAGATTAGGTATATAGAATATGGGTGAATTTGAAGATAGCAGATAATCAACTATTCTTGTAGAAACTATAATTTCCTTCATAAAAAAACTTATGTGTTTAATAGTTTCTCTGGTATGAAAAACTAAAAGTGTAAATGAGATCCAAATTGTATAACTGATAATGTGAAATAGGAAGAAAAGGGCTAAAGGTGTAGGGGAAGTGGGAAGGGTAGGGGAAAGGAAATAAGGGAAAAGAAAAAATATGAGAAAATGAAAAAATGGAAACAAAGTCTTTGTAAATGGGGAAGGGTGGAGGGGGTGAAGAGAGGGCAGGGGTATGGGGGAAAATAAGAACCAAGATACATCATGTAAAGGTAGAAGATCCCAGGATGAATGTAACTGTACTGTGTACATAAAAAGTACCTATAAACTCAATGAAAAAAAATCTTGTATGTTTTATTTGGGTATTGACTTGTATGTCTTAGCGGCAACATTTGCCTTATCAGTACTCTTAGCTTTAATATTCTTTTATAATATTACCCTGGTCTCTTGTTTGCCAGTGAGATGGGTCTTGTTATTTTTAAAAGTCTATTTTTTTTCTTTTTTATTGAGTTTATTGGTACTTTTAAAGTACACAGTACAGTTACATTCATCATTGGGATCTTGTACCCTTAAATGACAGGTCTTGGTTCTCATTTTTTCCCCTTCCCCCTGTCCTCCCTTACCTCCTCCACCCTTCCCTGTTTACAGACTTTGTTTCCATTTTTTTCCTTTTCTCATATTTTTTCTTTTCCCTTATTTCCTTTCCCCAGCCCCTCCCACTTCCCCTACACCTTTAGCCCTTTTCTTCCTATTTCACATTATCAGTTGTACAATTTCGATCTTATTTACACTTTTAGTTTTTCACACCAGAGAAACTATTTGGTATTTACACATGTGTGTCCTATTTATTTCACTTAAGAGTTAAAAGTCCATTTTGCAGTGTGGTTTAAAGTAATACTTTGATGGTGTCTGGGCTACCTCTTCAGGTAGCGGAGAAGTAAACAAGGTAATAATCCCCTGAAATTTTTGGGCAGGATCTCAATAAATTGGTAGGGAAGTAATACTGTTATACAATTGAAATTCTAGAAAGAGTTTCTTAATTTGGGGGGTAGACTGGGATATTTACAGTAAAATTCACCTCCTCCTCTGTGTCCTTTTGATGCATCACATTGCAATGACCAGATGTAGCAAATTGTCAGGGATCAACTCTTCTCTTTGGCTAATGTACCATCAGTTTTAAAAAAGGTTCTTTTGAGGTACCAACCAAGTCTTTGTTAATCCTATGTATTGAAACCCTACCTCTTAAAATAACCAGTAAATACAAAACAGAACTCCGCTTTGTAGATGATGCCTATCGATTCTCAAGAAATCCATATTCATATTCTTTTAAGGCACTTAGAAAATGTACTATTGGAGCTCTTTTACAGCATCTTTGTGAGTTACAAAATAAAGTTGAACCCAAGTGAAAATAGTTTAAGTGTTTTGGAAAAAGAAATAGATGTGTATTTCTTAAAAGCTTCTACCTTATATTAAAAATGCACAAAATCTTCTCCCATAAAGAAATAAATTTAGGGTGTTAAATTTTTAGTTCACAGCTCTAAAGGGAGAAAGAAGATATTTAGGATGAAAATAAGCCTGGAGCTATTTTTATATCAAAAAGAAAGTTCAGCAAAAGGATCAGGCCCTTTTATTTTTGTTCCGTGTCTTAACAATTTAATTGCACTTTTCTTTCTCCAGTACATGAAACATGCAGAACACAATGATTGTACTGGTTAAATAAGTTATAAAAGGCTTAGGATCAGTTCACTTCCAAATTTAATTTGATTGATTTCAGTATAAGAAATACCATGTTAAAATGAAATTGTTACTTTTAAAGGACATTATAAACAGCCAAAATAAGAAGAAAGGGAAACTATTGTCTTAAAACATGACGGAATGAATAAACATTTTGCAGATCACTAATAGTCAATAACATTATTTGGGAGATTTAGGGATGATCTGGTTTGTATTAAACATATTTACACTTTAAAATGTTTCATGAATTAAGGCAAGCTTTACTACAAACAGATGCTAAGAAATATGAAAAAGTAGAGCATTTTGCTGTACTAAAATCATCATTATCTAGGGGATGCGACTGACTAGATTCTGAAAAACTGCTTGGCTTTTGTTTTTCCAGAGAGCACAGTCAGATGAACTGGAAAAAATTGAAAAGCACGGCCGGTCCTCCAAAGACAAGGAAAATGCCAAGTCTCTGGACAAACCTGAACAGTAAGCAAGCCACCTGAGGACCCAGTGCAGGGCGTCGGGCCGGGTGGGCTGTGGCCTTTAGGAAAAAACCATGTCTTGAGTGCCTAGTTGTCATTAATAAGATGAGGATAAACGTGTGCTTCTGTGAATTATATTTTCCCTCTTAACTTGGCTTTATTTCCTTAGGTTCCTTTATGAACTGTCACTAATCCCCAACTTTTCAGAGCGAGTCTTTTGCATCTTGTTCCAGTCCACGTTTTCAGAAAGCATTTGCTCAACCCGTCGCAAACTGGAATTGCTACAGAAACTGTGTGAGGTGGGTCTGGTCCCAGGAGAGCTGAACTTGAGCACTGATATTTAATTTTGTTCAGTCATATTCATATATCAAAAAAGTGTTATTTACCCTAAGTACTCATTAAATGTGAAGAGGTAGCAATCCCACCAAAGGAGACGTTTTGTGATTGAGCCACAGGATCAAAGTACGCGTTCATATTGGCATGCAAGGCTGCGGGACCACATTATGAGTGTGTGGCCAGTATGTCTGGCCTCTGGAGGACTCGCTTCTTCTGCCTTCATTGTGTTCACTCTCCATGGTCCTCGTACACATCAGCCTTCCAAATAAATGCAGTTTGAAGGCATGCTATTTCCTGTCCTTCGTGTTTTTGCATTGCTCCAAACAAACTGTTAGTGGTTATCCCAGCCAAATGATTTAGGAATGGCCATATGACTCAACAAAAGATAAATATTCCTCTAGGGAAACAAAAAAAGACTAAATGTTTGGCAGAAATGACCAGTATTAACATTTAAAACAATTTGTCAAAAGTGAATAGGACCATTTGTTTTGATAGTGTTGAATTATTTTGAAAAGTGGAAAAATATTGTCAAAGACATTTTCAAAGAAAATCATGCAAATTGAAGGTAAATGTAGTGTTCTCAAAGAAGTGAGTGTGATCTTGGGGGCACACCCAAATTTTGAAACTAACCTTTATAACGACTTTTTATTTTCTACAATTTACACCAAGAATCTGTATCATTCTCCACAACCAATTAAGATGACATTGATGGTACCATTTCATAGTAGTTTATATGTTATGCCCTTATTTTTTTAACCTTGAAATTACATGGTAGAAATGGCGTAGACTGGCTTCTCTCAACTTACAAAATATACCTTAAAGCTTCTCGGTGTCACAGCTTTTTAAAGTTTCTTTGAAGACACTGCTTTAAGAGGAAAGTGCAGTTTGGTTGTAAACCCAAAAATTAATATAATACAGAGAACTGGCATTGGTCTTGGGTGATTGAAGTAAAACTTTGTATAAGAGAAAAATTGTTCTTATCCTGTATTGCAGACATTAAAAAATGGCCCAGGGGTTATGCAGGTTCTGGGTTTGGTCCTTGCATTTGGCAATTACATGAATGGTGGAAATAAGACTCGGGGACAGGCGGATGGCTTTGGATTAGACATTCTCCCCAAGCTGAAAGACGTCAAAAGCAGTGTAAGTATTTTGTATCAATGGGTGTAGGAAAATTAAGGATATTTTGCTTGGTATTTAGTTTATTAATAGGTTTGACTATAAACCAGTGGTAATAAATACTTAAAAGTTTCTTTATGTTCTCAACTAGAGAAAAGCACACTATTGGATATTTGAGGTTTAAGTGATTAATAATGTTTCCTAAAGTGAGTAATTTTGAATTCTATGTCCAATGATTAATTATAATATTTTTAAACAAAAACAAATATTTTTTCAGTCTATTTTCACCAAGTTAATATTTATATTTTTGAAATCTAAGGTGTAATCATTTTCAGTGAATTAGATAGTCTACCTGTTATTTTTTTTCTGTTTAGGCAATAGAGGCCAACAGCCCCATGTTTTGAAAACAAAACAAAGGTGAATGAAAATAGTGTGTAAATAACAGTATGAAAAGATATCCTGCTTTTCTACATGTTATTTCTTCCCTCACACTGGTTTGTATGGGAATGTCTAAGCGCTTTTGGAGTTCTGGTTATTTTTGTTCTACTCTTACAGTTGTGTTTGTTTAAAATTAATATCTAAGCGATTATAAGAGTGTCAATGGAAATATAAGGTTAGAGATGATGGTTGGAATCACAGACTAGAGTCTGGGCTGGTAAACTGAGAAAATAAAAGAGCTATGTTTCTCTGATAAGAGAATCACCACACAGAACATTATGATGAAGGAAATTATGATCACATTTTAAAAATACTACACTTAAGTAAATAATTGACTTGTAGAGATGAAAATGTGTAGGATTATCTGTCCTGCATAGTGCAGCAATCTTCTTTGTAAGAGGGGAGGTATTTGGTCTCTTCTGTCAGTCAAAATTTTATTCATTCATTTATTCATATGCGTACATGTATAAATTTGACATTTTTCTGTTCAGCATCTATGAAATGCTACACACTGCTTATCCAAAGTTGAATAACACATACTTCTTTCTTGGCACACAAACACTATATAATATTTGTGATTTTTATGGTTATTAAAATAACTATATATCTCAAATGGGCTTGTATTTGACTAGAAGCACTTTCATAGGAATAAACCTTCAATATTTGGAACAAATCCCATTCGTTAAAAAAACAAATCTGGAGTTTCTCTTAGTTCATTGAAAAGGAAGTTTTGTGTTATTATCTTTTTTTTTTTTCCTTTGCAAGGGCAAAACTTCTTTTGTCTCTGAGTAACCACTTCAAAGACAATGATCTACAGTGTAATAACTATTGTTGCTCTCTTATTTTATTATGAAATTTTGTTTTATGTTTAATAAAATGAAAATATATTTTCCACCATTTGATAGTTTAAAAATATTTCTCAGTAACTGCTTAAAGTGAAACAAGTTTTGTAAATGACATTGGAGTAATATAACTACGTCATGTTCAACTTATAAAAATGGATCTGAAATATATTCTGGTAATCCTATTTATATATGAATAAGAGATTATTTGTGTTTTGTATTGACTTGCTTTTCTTCATTCTTCATTAAATCTTATTAATTTAAATAATTTTGGAGTAATCTGGGAAAAGTAAACACTGAATCAAGAAACAAGATTTATAATTTTACTTGCTGTCTCAAAAGAACTATGTATTCTTTTTTTGTTTTTTTTTTGTTTTTTTGAGACAGAGTCTCACTATGTAGGTGAGTCTGACCTGGAACTCACTATGTAGCCCAGGCTGGTCTCGAACTCACAGCGATCCTCCTGCCTCAGCCTCCCGAGTGCTGGGATTACAGGTGTTCGCCACCACGCCTGGCAGAACTATGTATTCTTAATGAACTGATTTTTTTTCCCTATTAAGCAAATGTAACTATATCTACTCAGTAATATTTGTAGACCTTCATGGATAGAGCCATTACTTAGATCACTCAGAATTTTCTCTCAGCATGCCTGTGAGCAGGCTTTTAACAAATGTTTTATTAATTGATTCATGTACTGTAAACTGTTTCATTGATTTACAAGTTAGAAGAAAGGATGTTAAGTTGCTTAAATCATTTTACAAGCAAAGTCTCTCTAATGAGGGAAGTCACTAATGAATACATTCCTACCTCATGTCAGACTGAATTATGAAATGGTGTTAACTATTTTTATAGATAGAGGGAAAACCATGGCTAGGTCTAGTAATAGAAAAACTGACACCAATTAAATTTAACATAGTTTGCCTGAGCAAAACAAGTTCTAGAACCAGGTAGCATTTCAAACCAAAGGTGATCCATAATACCCTACCCGGTTATACATGCAAGTTATATTTATAGCCAGAGGAAAGGAAGTGACATACAGAGACAACTTGATTGGCTGCAGTTGGCATTTGCCTCATATGTATCTGTTTTGTTAGCTTTCAGTCTCTGACTGGCTAGAAGTTCATCTGTCATGATTGGCTGAGACTCATTTGCTTGGTGTTAGCATATGTTAGCATATGTCAGGTTAGGTTGCAGTTTGTGTACACTTGTAGCTAGGTTTACATTTAATATGTAAGGATGCCACTGTGGGCCAACTTTAGCACCCATGTATGTAGATAGGTTTAAGCCAAACTTCAGTTTAACTGTCTAGTTTGTATCCTAGGATTTTGTTTTTAAATGTGTGTGTGTGTGTGTGTGTGTGTATTCAGTCTCTCAAAGCTAATTTATCTACAGGTAACTTGGATCAAAGCAAAAAAATTATTAAAATTAATGCCTTTAGGGTTATTGATGTGATTCATTGATAGAGCATTTGCCTTGCATACTCAGGGCCCTCTATTTGATCCCAGCACTGCAAAACAAATCTCTGTATTTGCCTAGCATGTTCCAGACTCTGGGCTCAATTCTCAGTACTGCAAGAAATCAAAAAGAAGGGGGAAGGGCTGGGCGTGGTAGTGCATGCCTGTAATCCCAGCACTCAGGAGGCTGAGGCAGGAGGATCACTGTGAATTCGAGACTAGCCTGAGCTACATAGTGAGTTCCAGGTTAGTCTCAACTACATAGTGAGACCCTGACTCAAAAAACAAAAAACAAAAAACAAAAAAAAAAAGTTGCGGTTGAAGCCTCTAAATGTACAGAAAGGAAATAAAAATCCAGTCTTTAAAGACTGTTAGATATGAAACATTCTTATAGTTTTAAAATATAGAATGAAACAAGGTATCTTATTTATAGTGACAGTATTAATTTCTCAGTCTCAGTTGATACAATGAATTATATGTATTGGTGTTTTAAAAGTGTCCACTAAACCTGAAATGATACTATTCTATTTTGCTAGTATAAATGCTAATCAGCCTCCAACAAAGTTAAGAGTTGGAGTGATACCTGTCAGTCCATGTACAAAGAAATGCTAGTGAGATTTAATTATTTCATTTAAGACAGTAATTATAAAACATACAAATAATACATTAAAATTTATAAGACAAATACTAAAAAACATAAATTGAATGAAATTTCTGACCAAGAAAGCTAAAATTAGGAAACTACAGTTGTCCTTGCCCTTATACAACTCTGTTTCCCCTTGAAGCTTAGATTGAAACAAACGAGAGAAATCTATGCTATTAAACTCCTTAGATAAAGGAATGTATGGTGGCACATACTTGTAATCCCAGCACTCTGAGAGGCTGAGGCAAGAGGATCTCCAGTCCCAACCTAGCCTGGGCAACAAAGCTATAGACCAAGGGGAAAAAAATGAGAATCAAGACCTGTTATGTAAAGGTACAAGATCCCAATAATGAAAGAAATTGTACTGTATACCTAAAATGTACCAATAAACTCAATAAAAAAAAAGGAACTGACAAGTTACAGTGACAATAGAGACATCAGAATTGTACAGAGAAAGAGTCTGAGAGTGAATATTTCTTAAATATATTTGGTAGAGTACATATAACCTTAGGAATGGCCCATAAACACACAAATATAGCTTTATCTAAAAGAGAGTAAATGAAAAAACTACATATATAGTTTTTGGTTATAACCTGTTTACTTTGTATTGAAAACACTTGTTCATACTGTTGGGAGAGGTTTCTCCAAGTCTCTGCCACTTTGGAAGGGATCATTGGAAACCATGGTATGGTACACACAGCCTTGGATGTGAATGAATTGAATGAGTATAAAGAAAACATTTCAGTCAGTTTGAAATGGCTGCCAACATTATACAGATATGAATTAGCTACTTAAAATCTATTATTATTGCAAAATAAAATGGAACTAATTTTCTTTCATTAAAAAAAAAAGTGCTGGGGATGTAATTCAGTGTGAAGGCCCTGAGTTCAAGTCCCATTGCTGACCCCCCCAAAAAAAACTGAGGTAATGCAAAATGTAAAAGTTCACAGTTCATTCTAAATATCCTTGTGTATATGTATAGAGATTCAGTGGAGTTTATTTAATAATACATACTTCATAAGTTTTGAAAAACATTGTTGCTTACTTTGATCTTTCTGCCTAGGACAACAGCAGAAGCCTTTTGTCATATATCGTTTCATATTATCTTCGAAATTTTGATGAGGTAAGACCATCTTTACAGAATTGCATTTCAACGATCTTTGTTGGGTGATTTGGTGGTGTTTTTGTTGTTGTTGCCTGCTTTTGTTTTCAGCTTTGCTGCTGCTGCTGTATGGGTTTTAGTTGTATTGACACTGATTAGTTTAAAAATTATGCTTTCTAATTAGGATGCTGGAAAAGAACAGTGTGTCTTTCCACTGCCAGAACCTCAGGACCTTTTTCAGGCCTCACAGATGAAGTTTGAAGATTTTCAAAAAGATCTCAGAAAACTAAAGAAAGACCTGAAAGGTAATTTATAATCTTGAACTTTCATTTTTAATTTATTGACATTGTTCTTATATATTCAACATGTTCTTATATACTCAATGTGGTTCATGTTAGCTTTTTTATTTATGATCTTTTAATGAAAGATGGCAGCCTTTGCAATGTTTTTGAAGGAAATAAGTTAGTCTTTTATATCTGTGGAACTAAATTTTCTGTGGCAAAAGAATAATTTTGTTGATAATCTTATTTTTTTTTCCTGTTGAAAAAGTTGCATATTGGAAATTTAATTATGGAATGGTATTTTCCTCATTTGAATAACAATCTATTCATCCGGATCAAGTTTGCATCTTGTTTTTATTTTATGTCCAAGAACATTTGAACATTTATCATTTTATGGCTGGACACAAATCATGCCATTGTTAAAAGATAAATAGTCCCTGCCCACTTTCCCTTGGTATGTTTGCCCAAGATTTTGTGGCTTGTGAGCTTTCCTAAAAACATCGTATCTTCTTGTTCATATATGGTAAAAAAAAAATACATGTATATTGTTTTGTTGTCTGTCAATCCTCATACCAAATCATTTTGAAAATAGCCTGAAATTCCTCACATTTCTAAATTAAAACTAACATTGCACAGAAGCAAATAGTTCACAAAAATTTAATTTTCCTGAACAAAATATCTTTTATCCTACCTAACTCTAATAGTATAGGCAGGGAGTGAATACATTTATGTGAGATTTTCATTTGATATTGTCTTGCCAGATGAAAAGTACAAGGCCTGGTTATGCTGTCCAGAAGCCAAAAATGACCTAACTTTTAATTTAAGAAATTCAATCTCGATTTTGAGATGTGTTTATCCAAAGATGCTGATCTGTACTGAGATGGAGTTATGTTTTGGTCACAGTTACTTTTACATGTATTTCATTCAGTCAGTATTATGTTTGCTCACAGTTCCTACACAGATAATTCATGTCAGGCATGTGCTAGGGGCTGGGTTTTACAAAGGTACAGCCAACACTTTTGAGGAGACTGAAATTCTGCCATGTAGATATGTTTGGTTCCTTCAATCCTTACACCTAGGTAGTCATAGGCACCAAGAAAGATTGCTGTGGCTTGGTTTATTTTTATATTCAGTAGTACTAATAAAAAACTATATTTGTGTAATAGTCCAGTAATTTGTATTTAAGTTAAAAGGGAATCTGTAAAGCAATAGAAAATAGACCTTTTGGGGTAGGTATATAACTCAATGCAGAGAGCTTTTCTAGCATGCATGAGGCCATGGTAGTTCAAGCCCAACTCTGAGGGGGAGGGAGAAACCAACAAACTCTTGATGTAGAGATTATCATAATTCAAAATTATGTCAGCTATTTTGGCTTGATGATAAAATTTTACACACACACACACACACACACTCACACCCTCATGTGGTGCTAAAGGCGTTTCTGTGGGATTTGGAAAATGCTTCCGACTTTGATAAGCATACAGCTTTGCAGACTAGGGTTTCATAGTTTACAGATGATTTGATAAATGAGAGGAATGATAATCTTATTACCAGGGGATTCACATTTGCATTAGCTGGTGTATTACTTTGGAATACTACCCTGCTTTCTTTTAGCATCTACATGACTACTTTCTATAGGTATTAAATCTACCTATAGCTACGTAAATGGCAAGTTCTCACAAGACTTGAAGCTAAGTACGGAGAGCTGGCACTACCTAATCTCCTTGATCAGGATGGTTAGCTGCTGCCTCTGAATACTTTTGCTGTGTATTTTCCACCTTGGTGAATGTGGTACCCATAGAAGACTACATATCAAAGGACATTGTCTTAGAAATACTTGAGTGTCTCAGAAGGTTAAGGAGAGATTTCTAAATTTATGTAGCTAAACAATGGACTTATTGAAAGACCCATCTTTTCAGTTAGCAAAGTGTAGTATTTGCCTAATACAGTAGCTTCCCCAGTTTGGCAATAGGTTATAATAACTCCATGCCCTAGAAATGGGCATGTTCATGATCAGATGAACATAAGAACTCTTGGGTCAGGTTAAACTGGAAAGGAATGCACAGTGTTGTCCAAAAGAAGGGTTTGCAGTAGTTCTTCAATTTATTTGACCACAGAACACTTTTTTCACAGAATGTGTGGTGCGTTCTGTGGTCATTGTGACATGTTGGAACTGATTGTGGGAAATGTAAGCCTGGTTCTGTGTTAAAAACAAAAGCCTGTATTTGCTCTGAGGAGTTTAAAGTGAAGGTGGGGGAAATGAAACTATAGTTCATGAAATAATGTAATTATCTATTACTGTTCTAATAAAATCAGATTAGCTTGAAGAGATTTATCGGGCTATCCAACTCTGAGGATTAAAGCTAACAAAAATCCTGATTTATCTCTCTTGTTTTTTTGGTTTCTCAAATGTTATGGGATGAGGAAGGAAATCTTACAAATCAAAATTAAAATCCAATTTCCAGGAGCTAAAGATTTATGTATGTAGCATTTCATATTGCATAAAGTAAAGCAATATTGTTTATTTAGGAAGAAGATGAGTACAAATGTATATATAACTGGTCTGTGTAACCAGTTGTATTTTAGATGCAGAGATAGTTCCTTAAAAATAATGTCCACTTTGATTAATGTAGCTTATTTAAATGATTTATTTTAAGTGATCAAATGAGAATATTCAATTAAAAAGAATCAGACTGTGCACATATTTTCCCCAGAGGCATATTATTTTTAAACTGGCTTAGATATGTAGAGCATTAATCCAAATACTTTTCATGCGGAAAATATCTAGTAGATATCAGCTATTTGAAATTCAGTACAACTAGTATGATTAGTTTCATAAAGACAGAAAGCTGTCAGCCTGAAATCACTCATCTTCTGGCTAAACATCTTTTTTATTCATTAAGTTTATTGGTACATTTTAGGTATACAATATGATGACATCCATCATTGGAAATTTGTACCTTTACGTGATTTATCTTGGTTCTTATTTTTTCGCCATTCCCCTGCCCTCCCTTCAACCTCTCTCCACTCCTCTCTCTTTACAAAGACTTTATTTCTGTTTTTTTGCCTTTTTTCATATTTTTCCTGTCCCTTTTCTTTTCTCCACCCCTCCCACTTTCCCTTTCTCTTTAAACTTTTTCTATTCCACATTATCAATTATACATGTTAATCCTTATTTACACTTTCAATTTCTCACTCCAGAGAAACTATTCAGTATTTACACGTGTGTCCCATTTATTTCACTTAAGAGTATGGTCTCAATGTACGTTCCTTTAGCTACAGATGTCTCTAGTGTCTCATTCTTTATGGCTGAGTAGTACTCCATTTTATCAAAAAAATCACGTTGTCTTCTTTAGCCAGTCTCCAGTTGATGGGCTGAATCCAACTTTTAGCTATTACAAACTGTTCCACTATAAACATGGTTGCACATATATCACTATGGTATTATTCCTTTAATTCTTTTGGGAAGATACCCAGCAGAGGAATAGCTAGGTCAAATGGGACCTCTCATCCTAATTTTTTGAGGTATCTCCATCCTGATTTTGACAGTGGTTGCACCAGTCTGCACTCCCAACAATGGAGAAGGGTCCCTTTCATCCCACAAACACGCCAACATTTGTTACTGGCTGATTTCTTGATAGCAGTCATTCTCTCTGGAGTGGGGTGCAATCTCAGCACTGTTTTAATCTGCATCTCTAGAATGATCATTGATGTTGATCATTTTTTCTTATGTTTATTTGCTGCTTTTACTTCTTTGAGGAATGTGTTCGTTTCAGATGCCATCTTTGGACTGGGTCTTTAAATTTGGAAGGTCTGATTTTTAAAAATTCTTTATATATTCTAGATAGTAGTCCTTTGTTTGAGGAATGCCTGGTAAAATATTTTTCCCACATTGTAGGTTATCTCTTGGTTCTGTTAGTGGTTTCTCTGGCAGTGCAGAAGCTTTTTAATAAGATGAGATCCCAGTTGTTGATTGTTTTTGCTAGGTCCCAAGCTACTGAGCTTTTGTTCATAAAGTCTTTTCCTATGCCAGTGTCTTCAAGAATAGTGTTTGTGTTTTAATATTTAGATCTTTGATCCACTTTGATTTTAGTTTAGTGCATGGCAAAAGATCTAGTTTTAATCTTTGGCAAGTTGAAATCATTTTTTCCAGCACCGTTTAATAAAGAGGCCATCTTTCCTCCAGTGAGAGTGTTTGGGTCCTTTGTCAAAGATGAGGTGGCTGAGTATGTCTGGAGTTGTTTCTGGATCTTCTAATCCTTGGGTCTGTTTATTTGTCAGTATCATCCTATTTATATCACAGTGACTCGGTAGTATAATTTCAAGTTGGTGATTTTTATACCCGCTACCTTGTCTGTCTTGTCTAGAATTGTTTTTGCTATTCTAGATCTCTTCTTATTCCAAATAATTTTTGGATTGTTTTCTCTAGTTTTGTGAAATATATTGTTGGGATTTTGATCAGGATTGCATTGAATCTATAGAGCAGTTTTGGAAGGATGGCCATTTTCACTATGTTGGTTCTTCCTACCCAGGAACAAGGGATGTCTTCCCATTTTCTGATATCCTCTTTGATCTCTTTCTTCAGAGTGCTGTAGTTTTCTGGGTAGAGGTCTTTTACTTCATTCATTAGATTGATTCCTAGATATTTCATTTTTTGGATGCTATTGTGAAAGGAATTGTTTCACCACTTTCTCTTTCACTGAGTCTGATATTTGTATACAAGAAGGGTATTGATTTTTGAGTGTTGACCTTGTATCCAGCTACTCTACTGAATCTTTCAATTAAGTCTAAAAGTCTTTTTGGTGGAGTTTAGTGGGTCTTTGATGTAGAGCATCATGTCATCAGCAAATAATGACAGTTTAACTTCTTCCTTTCCTATCTTTATTCATTTTATTTCTCTTGTCTAATTGCTGTGGCTAATGTTATAAGAACTACATTGAACAGGAGTGGTGATAGTGGACATCTCTGTCTTGCTCCTGATTTTAGTGTGAAAGATTTCCATTTTGGGCTGTTTAGTATGATGT